TAGTATTTATTATTTAAATTAGGGACTTTCATTTGTTATAATATTAGTATATTAGAAATTTTCTTTATTGTGATTTGTGCTAAATTTAGATTTTTTGATTTATATTAAAATTGGAGATTTTGATTTGTGGGGGTTTGTGATTTTGATTATGAATTTTTATTTTTTAAAACAATAATGGAGAAATATTTCAAAAGAAAATTAAAGTTAGAATCATCTCTTCCTTAAGAAGAAGATTATAATTATTTTTCCGCAAAACAAAGTCGCATATAAATTAACTTAGGGCTGGTTTGGCAAGTTTCAAAAAAGTTAAAAAGTCACTATGCTATTTTAGTCACATCATCTTATTTAAGTTACACCACCTCTCTGACACATCACTTCAAACCCAACCCAAATCCAACCCATATTTCATAAAAAGTCAAAAAGTGCACTTATTTAGATCATCCTTAGTAGACCTTCCTGCAGATCTAGGACTACAACCTCGGATTATGAATTATAATACTAATGATCGAGGCCAAATTTTGAGATTATAATCAATTGGTGCCCCCATACATTAAATTCCTGGCTCCGCCACTCAACCTAGATGTACCTAAAAAGTAAAAGTATTTATAAAAAATATTTAAAAATTAATAAATACAAAATAATACGAAAATATACTAATTTTTTGTATTTTTTATATTTTTGGTATTTATTAGTTACTTTTTAAATTTTTTTCAAAAATACTATATTTTTTAATTCTATTTATATTAAGTGTATTTAAAAACTAAAAAAATTATTTAAAACATGAAAAAAAATCAATAAAAATACAAAAAAATACAAAAAAACTAAAAACTAAATTTTAAAAAAATTGGAACCAAACATTTTCATTGATTTTTAAACAAGTACTACAAATGACAGTACTGAAAAAAGGGAAAAGGACAAAACTTGTATAACGGCTCTTAGGACCTGGCGAGTACGCATTTTAGTTGAAAAAGTTAAAAAAAAAAATCAACAAATACTAAAAAATTAAAATTTATTTTCATTCACTCTATTTTTCATATATATTTTCATAAAAAAAAATCAAAAAATCATCCCAAATATATATATATATATATACATATGTATCATATTGGTCAAAAAAAAATTTAAAAATCACCAAAAAAATAGGTTCCCAAACCACCCTTACTACCTTTTGGACCACCATTTTATCCCAAGGTGCTTGTAAGAATGCTACAAGTACTTCAAATTACATTATATTTAAAAAGACAAAAAAAATTGGGATATTTAAGTCAAGTTTGGCAAGTTGCTAAAAAGTCAAAAAGTTACTCAAAAAGTTAAAAAGTTATCACTATTCACCAAAAGTCAAAAATTACGACTGCACAACTCTTAATCCTAATTTTTCCCTATTCCCTACATACTAATTTATATAATTTTTTAATACATATTTTTCCATAAAAAGTCAAAAAGTTAATCCAAACATCCATATATTTTTTTCTCAATTTTTTAGTCCAAAAAGACAAAAATTACACTTATTTAAGACACCCCAAACAACCCCCTAAAGATAAGGTTTAGCCATCCATATCTATTTACAAAAATGTTTCAGGGCTCGAATGCATTTGGCTCAAATGGCCCGAAAATGTGGACTCACGCGCTAAAACCTCTATCTCGCTCTATCTCCTCATTTTTCTTCCTTCTCATATCCAAACTCTCTTTCTCTCTATTGCTCTGTCTCTCCCAAAGTCGTGTTTCTTCCGAAGCATATCTCCAAATCATTTGAGTCTATCTCCTCCAAAACGACGTCAGAAACGACTCTCACACCCAATTCCCTCATTGCCGGATTACTAACCAATCTGATTCGAATCTCAGGTAAGCTCAAAACTAGAGTTTGATGATTTAAGGTTTTTATGTTTTGCCCCAATAATTTCAATAATTGGTTAATTTCATAGAGCATAGAGCATTTTGAAACAACTCTCACACCCGATTATTACTTTATGATCTCCCGTACATTGGTTAATTTCAAACGACTCCCACACCCGATTACAGGGTTTTATTTTTACATTTCATTCATAAGCTATCAATTTCAGTTCATCTGGTTCAATTTTTACACACTACTTTTTTTTTTATTCACTATTTTGAAATGAGGGATGGAGCATAATATGAATATTTAGTTGTAGGATGTAAGTTAGGTGTTTGTTGGTGTGATTTAGGTTGTCCACATTGTAAAATTACCTTCTGTTTTTTTTTTTTCAATTTTTTCCCCCCTGTTAGGTTAGGCTTGTCTCCCATCAGACCATATGAATTGAAATCAGGAACTTTAGGACTAAACTAAATGGATGAAATTGATAGTTTAAGGATGAAATGAAAACAATGATGATAGTTTAGGGATGAAATGAAAACAATGATAATTTTGTTAATAAATAGATATTTATTCCACTTATCTATCTACATTTTTATAAATGTGAATGGCAAGATATGCAAAAAATGTTTGTTATTTGCGTTATGCTTGAAGATGTATGTTCTATGTGCAAAAAATGTTCTTTGTATGTTCTTGAATTAGATGAATTTGTATGTTCTTTGCCTTATGCTTGAAGAAAATGTTTGATTTGCTAGCTTGATATGCAGGATTCAACAAACTGTGAAGTTGGGTGTTTGTTGGTGTGATTTAGGTTGTGAGTTTTTACTAAAAATGGAACACTATTTGAATGTATAAGACACTTAATTTGAATGTATAAGACACTTAACAATTTTGAATGTATATGTTAAGTGTCTTGTTAAGTGATTTAGGTTGTGAGTTTTCCTGAAAATGTTCTTAGTAAAAACTCACTGCCATAAAATCTCAATTTTGAATTTTGAATGTATAAGACACTTGTCCAGTGAATATCATAGAGCATTGAAGACATGAAATATGGAAACATGGTTTGAAATTAATATTCAAATATTTTGAATTTTGTTTATGCAGATTAAAAATGGCTTCTTCTTCTACTAACAACAACAACATTAGATTAAGACCAAGAATGTGTGATTGTGGGAAAATAGCTACAATGTATATTGTACGAACCAATGAGAATGGAAATCAACCCATCCAAATATGTAAGTATGTGTTATGAAATTAAACTTGTAGTATTTCAGAAATTATTTGTATAAATTAAATAATTGATTGTCATGCATTGTAAAGTAAGTGTAACAAAGAACACTGCAAATACTTCAAGTTTGCGGACGATGATGATGGGGACGTTACCTCGACAATCCATTCCAATAGTGGACCTCGTAAAGCTATCCGAACAGAAGAATTGAATGATGTCAGGGCAAGGCTTTCTGAGATGGAAAATGAAATACATGACCATGGTAGAAGGCTTCAAAGGATGGACATCAAATTCAAGGCTATGATTTATGTGATTGTAGTCTGTATCATTTTGTACTTTATTATGTAAGAATTGAAATGCTTGACTGTTAGTTTTTGGGAAGTTTGATGAATGTAATTATGGATGTAATGGACATGTTGAATGTTAGTGATTGAATGAATGTGATGTTGTAATTTTATTATGGATGTAATGTGTTATTTGAATTAACTAAAACAAGGTTAGGGTACATCTGTTGGTTAAAATCAGATGTATATCTTGTTGTACATTTGAAAGTATAAAACTTTTATGATAGGCATGATATTGTGCTCTGTTTCAGACTTTTTCATTCCATGCCAAAGACAATTAGCTTCCAAATTGTTTTGTTTCAGTTCAAGCAATGCACATGATTTTTAAAAATGTATATATATTTTTGTGCTAATATGATCATTCCATCAACAACTCATACTGATCAAAACCAATCCTCCTCCATTTCCACTCCTCACCGAGCCTTATCTGAATTCCAACTTACTCACCAAGAGAGTAAACAGAAAATTCAAACGAGAATCAAAGTCAGAATCTACTCCTACTGATCAAAGCCCAAAAACTATCACTGACCCTTTCATGAATTTGATGGTCTCAAACTACAATAACACTGCCCCATTCAGCCTTGTGGATACACCAAAATTTGTCCCATTCAACATCATTCATAGTTAACCATCAATCAGTCCCATTCAATATCATTCATAGTTAACCGACAATTAGCTTCCATTTAATTTTATAGTTAAACATCATTCAACATCATTTATAGTATTCTACAAACAAACTCATCTCAGGAGCATTCCACAACAACAAAAAAAAGAGACTAAGAGTCTGTTTGTTTTGAACGATAACACCATGGGATTGGACTATTAGTCTTCGTTGTTTGGTATGAATTTTTTGGTCCGGACTAATAATCCCCCGGACTATTAGTCTCATATTTGTGGGACTATGCTATCCCATGGGGGGTGGGGGTGGGATAGAAACCATGGGATAACTCATCCTATGGGATTAGTTACTAAAATTACATTTTTACCCTTTGGTATTTAATTATATATTATATTTAGTAAAATTCAATAAAATTTAAATGTTTCAATTTAAAAATAAAATAATTTTATTTAATTTTTATTTTTGTTTTATTTATTTAATTTTTTAAAATAATTTTTTATAGATATTTTATTGATGCTTTATTTTAAAATTTTGTTTATATTTTATTTAATTTTATTATTTAAATTTTAATAGATGTTTTATTTTGTTTCATTATTTAATTATTATTATTATTATTTAAAATAAATTTATTTAAAATTTTAATTAAAAACATAACATATATTTTTATTGATATTTAATTTATTTAATTTTTAAAAAATAAATTTATTTAATTGTGCAAAAAATAAAATAAAATAAATTTTTATTTAATCTAGCTAAAAACAATTAAAATATTAAAGCTATGTTTAATATTGCTATTACTTAGTAAATAATTGAAAAGGATAAGATAGTCATTTGAGCATTTATCATTCTTCATAATATTCCAAACAAACATTGGATAACTAAAAATAGTTCAATCCAGACATCTAATCTCATGACTAAACAAACATAGGATACAAATCCAGTCTAACCAAATAGTCCGGGGACAATATATCCCAGGACTATTAGTCCGATGGATTACAATCCCCCTTATCTAGTCCGTCCAAACAAACACACCCTTAAAGTATAAAAAAAAATTACAAAGTACTAATGCGAAACTAAAAAAAAATGGGACATTTGGATCCACATCTACATTGAAGTGAACAAAATTTGAAGCGATTGTCGAACTTTGACTGCTGATGTTGTTCACCATTCCTAATTGAGTGTGAGATGTGCCTCCAATATTGTCCACCGTTTGCATTTGACTAAACTATGCATATTCAATAAACAAGTATGCTTTACAAATATTGTCCATTCAACATATATATCAATTAAAACAAGAACAAATATTTTACTTCAGACATTGAACACATACCGGTACATACATACTTTGCTGTGTGCCATCCATGCAAGGAAAATAGTAAGGTACAGTTTGCGTCCCTTTATGATCATAGTAATACAATTTCATTATACATTTCAGACATTAAAATAAAAAACAACGAACAACATAAAAATTCAAACAGATATTGGGTCATGATAAGTCTTGTATTGCATATCATCTGTAGCAGGAAAATTTAACTTCCGAGGCTGACATTGAGGAATCATACGTCCCTATAGTAAGACACAGACACATTGGTGAATAATTTATCTTAAATACATTCAACAATTTCCATATCACACACAAGAAAAGAACTTACCTGTGCTTTTGGAGGCTTTTTACTCTTTCCGTTTTCATCCGATTCACTATTTCATCCACTTTGCTAACCTTTCGTTTGGTACATAGACGTCCTCTTCGGCGAGCACCCTAGGACTAAGCATCTTGCGAGACATGCTTGCTTTTGTAGTACTACGAGCAGACGGACTTTTCAGCGAACTATGAGAAGGTGGCACGTCACTAGTAGAAGGTGGTACATGACTCGCACTACCTAATTGATCTTTTCTCACTCCATCCTTGATTTCTATCAACCCAAGATCAAGCTTTTCATGTTTACCATCATCGTTGGCAGCAATTTCTATGATTTTATCCAACATCTTGTGATATTTATCATGCAAATTTGCATTAAGAATAGCCCTGCCTTTAGTGTATGTGGTTGGAATGCATGTGTATCCTCTTTTGATATCTTTTCTCTATCTTGATACAATGTATTTATCTGGAACCTAATATATACACCTCTCAAGTAGCACAGTAATTGCATGGGCACACATAATGCCCCTAAACTCAAACCATCGACACATACAATGCAATTCACATTCACTTGCATTAAAGTACACAACAAATTCCACAATCTTCATTTTCTCACCGACAAAAACAGCCTCATTCACATGATAAGTACAAATTGATCCTTTCTTTTTGACAAGATTCGCACGACAATACAATAGTCGCTTCAATTCTACTTGCACTTATTTAAATTTTGCATCTGTGTAGGCTGCACGAAATTGCTTCTCAAACTCATATACCGTCAAGCAACCATACAATTTGCTTCGAGATTTAAATGCTTTCATCTCTTTCTCAATCTTACTTCTCAAGGCATTATCATATTGTTCAACAAATTGCTTTAAAGTTGTCTTTGAGTTCACATATCCATCAAAAAATGCATTCATACTCTCACTTCGTTGTGTAGTCGACATGCCAGCCCAAAAAACGTGCTTAACATATGCAGGAATCCACCTATGTCGCTCACTGTATAATACCTCTAACCACTCATTATCATCTAGCTTGAACTTTGCAATCATCGCTTGCCATTCTTCATCAAATTCATCTTTTTGTAAAACAATCATGAACTGCATTTTGCAAAGCGAACTTGATGGATTCATATTGGGCATATCCTCTTAATTTCTCCGAAATTTTCTTCATTATATGCCATAAACACCAACGATGTCGAGCTTGTGGAAAGACAACTTCAATGGCATTTTGCATAGCTCTGCACTGGTCTGTTCTTATAGCTTTTGGAGAAACGTCAGGCATGCAACTTAACCATTCTCTGAATAGCAACACAAAGGTTTCAGTGTTCTCATTAGATAACAGCCCTTAACTAAGCAAAATTGGTTGCGCACGGTGATTAACTCCTACAAACGGAGCAAATGACATATCATATTTGTTTGTGAAATAAGTTGTGTCAAATGAAACCACATCCCCAAATGCTTTATAAGCTGCCCTACTCCTTGCATCCACCCAAAACAAGTTTCACATGCGACCATCTTCATCGAGGTCAATTGCAAAATAGAAGTTCAAACTTTGTTGTTGCATCCTATGAAAATAAAGTGCAACTGATTCAGCATCTCCTATCCCAAGGCTCAATTTTCTCATACTCTGAATATAATTCATTGCATCTCGTTCATCAAATGTTAATGCCTCATACCCCCCTACTTCAACAACTATAGAATGAAAATTCCTAGCCACCCCTATCCCTGTTTCATCGTTTATTTCTAGTCTTCTCTTCACAGGAGTAAGAATTCTCTTATTCATTGCAAAATATCGTGAGTCACTAGGAATCAAGTGATGCGTATGTTCAGGCACAACTGTGGTCAACTTAAATCTTCCATCCTTTTGTAGAGTTTCTCTAACATTTGTTTTACATTCAATAAATGATAACAAAGATGGTTCGAGAGGGTGTACTTCTGATCATTTTGTTCTCTTGCATGCCCGAGTACATTCAATTCCAAAGTATTTTACTTCCCTATCTTGTCCAATATTTTGTATTCTATAAACTATAGCAAATCAAAGGTGCTTCGCATATTTTGCATAAAACGAATATACTTCTTTCTTTGAGCTAAAACACATGCCCTTCTTAGGTTCTTCAACTTCACCAATCTCATTTAATGACGGATTGTTCTCCGCTTCTTTAACTTCCTCAGTCCCATTCAATGAAGGATTATTTGAATCAATGTCCATTAAAGCGTGGAGTTCGTGTAGCTTCAAACCAAATTGAAAATAAAGTGTAAGTGCATGTAAGTGCATTTTAATTTTTCTAAGATTCTCCAACATAACCAGTACCCCACATAGGTTTTCATATTGGATTGGGATATTTCATTTCAAGGTTAATTAATATCATTTATGTATAAGAGAACTTAACCTAGGAACAATTACAATTTATTGCAGGTTTATACTATTTTAGTGCCATGGAAATGAAGAACCAAGATGATTGTACATAGGAAGGAGCACTATGTACATTAATTTATTAATAATATAATGGAATGCATTTAACAAAACAATTGACACAAAAGTACGTAATGTCTCAATAAATTGGATCTTTTTGTTAAAAGTCAAGTTTATGTCGCTTGTTACCGCAATTTCAGCCTCAATCCTAATGCATGACTCAAGGCATGTGTGATGGCAGTGATGCCCATGAAATCGGTCTATCATATTCAACATATCATTTGTAACATAGAAACAAGTATTATTATATGAAGAGATCACCACGAGCAGCCAGATAACATAGAGATAAGCTCATTAGTTGGAAACCAGAAACTTGAAATGCTATCAAAATTAATTGAAATCCCTGAAGATTGAAAGGAATTTATTCAGTTTATATTACATCTCCGCCTGCCAAAAGTATACTTTCTCAATTACACAACCATAGAAGGTTAATTATTTCATTTCAAGGTTAATTAATACCATTTGTTTTAATTAATACCATTGGATAGGGATATTTCATTTCAAGGTTAATTAATACCATTGAGATTAGTTAACTAATGAGAACACTGATCTCAGTAATGAATTAATTCTTACACTGAGATTAGTTAACTAATGAGAACACTGTACAAACACTTAAATTCAAACATTGAGATTATTTGAATTAACTAATATACAGTAATGAGATTAGTTAATTCAAACACTGAGATTAGTGTTTGAATTCAAACAGTAATTCAAACATTACCCTAAATGTCAAAATTAGTTAATTCAAACATAATTTAAGTGTTCCATTTTCAGGGAAACAATAGTAAAACAAAAAACAAGAAAGATTAGCATCATGTCACTAAATTTGTATGACTAATCACAAAATTACCTAGCTTCTATAGAGATTAGTTTATAAAATAAAAAAATAAAAAAAAATTTAACATAGGGGGACTTTAAATACCATTTGTTCTTGCTAAATAACTCAATTGGGATTGTAAACTCAATGACATTATATAGGTTGGTCACAATCTGACTTTGGTTAAATTTATTTACTTTTTTGTTTGAAAATAATTGCATGCATCAGGATAATTTCTCTATGGGGATAATTTCATCAACCAAAACAATTGCTATGCATCAAGACTTTCATTAACCAAAACATAAAAAATCAAGATAATTTCTCTATGAGAACTTTCATCAAACAATTGGCATGCATCACTACAATGGAAATGTTTAACAGAGGACTTGCTTCCAAAACAACTAAAAAAATTTTTTTTACAGACACAGATCAAATAAATTGCCTTTTACACCTCTCTCACAAATGCATCTCAGAAAAAAAAATACAAAATAAAATAAATAAATAACTTACCTAGATGCACAGATAAAAAATGTTTAGGACATTCGGCATGGAGATTCTGAACAGCGGTGGACGGTGGTCAGCGACGGTCGCTGGTGAACACCAGGTCGGTGGTCGTCGTGGTCATCTCTCTCGTCGTCGTGAAGTCCTGTAGCTTCTCTCTCTCTCTCTCTCTCCTCTCTTCTCTTCTCTCCTCTCTTGTTTCTGTTTTTTGTTTCGTTAGTTTGCTTTCCAAAACACGTGAGCTCCACGTGTATCAAATTTTTTGAGGGAAACCACATTTGAGCCATTCGAGCCATTGCATATTCGGCCCGTAGCAGTTCTGATCTATTTATATCAATTTTATTAACCTTAATTGGACAAAAAATGGTATTAATACTTAACTTAAAAATGTGAAGAGTGACGGTCATAACTGAAAGAGTATTGTCATTTAAGTCAAAAAAAGTCAGACTCATTTTTTAAACCTACTAATGTGTCACTTTATTAAAAGGAAATGCTCTGTCATAGAGCTTTGCTAGCAGTGTTGAGCTTTGCTTGCAATTCAACTAGAACTAACTCTCTTCCGAGCCCAATAGCAGGGGGGAAGAGAGCCTATGGAAGAGTGGGTGACCAACCTAAAAATGTATGTAGCTCTTTCGCCCGTCCAAGTCAACTTTCTCTCTCTCTCTCTCTCTCTCTCTCTCTTATTTATTTTTCAATCATCAATCAATCATCTTGTTTACATATTACTAGATCTACAAAGTGGATTTATATATCATTTTCTTTCTGAAAATAATTGAAAGGGGAAGAGGCAAAGCAAAATTTTACGTAAAAGTATGAAGATGTTAAATGTAATTAATTCTTCTTATTGCACTTATGGTATGTCAAATTTTTCTAAAACTAACTCCAAATCACCTTTGTTACTATAACAAACACAAGAATAATTCTCCAGTCTCACCCATGATACTGATGTGATAATGTCACCCAAAATAAACCAACTAGGCCTAGCTTAGTTGGCCATTATGCCTTCCTTAGGGTTTAGTCCCAAGAAGGTCATATGTTTAATTCCCCCTTAGGGGGTTGAATTAAGAGAGTGCAAGCACTTGGATGCTTTGCCAATGGTGGTGAGATTTTCTCTCATAGGTGCTAATCTAACAACTAACATTTGTCGATCAAAAAAAATAATGTCACCCAAAATAAAAAAATAAAAAAATAAAACCCCATAATTGATTTATGTGAGAGCCAAGTGGATTAGCATTGTCACTACAGACATTGAATAATTTTTGCAGACTCATAATAAGAAGCGACAACAAAACACTTAAATTAGCAATACAACAAATTGCATTATTATTATTATTTTCAATAAGCTAAGTAGATTACATGTTGGGTCAATGTGGTGGTCGTCTATGGCAAGCCATATGGAGTGGAATTGGTGGGTCTGAAAATGAACCATCCACAATTTGATCAAAAATCCATTTATTTGCAGCCTCGGTGAAGTGGACCCCATCCCAATTGATCATCACTGATGGATCTTTGCATGGCTTCCCAACTAAAATTTCTTTGCCATGCACTGTTTTCTTTCCTCCACATCCTATGTGCTTGTTGTAATTGTACTTTCCACCATGCCCACAACATGCTTGCAATGGATGCACAAATCCTACAAATTTCACATTTATCATAGTTAATTAATCAAAACAAACCATGGACCCTCTCTTGAGATTTGAAAGTGCATCACATTAATGGGCCAGGTTCTAGGCCAAGTAAATGGGCCAAACCATTGGCCCAACTCTTAGACCCAAGCCCGACCCACAAGTTATAGGACTGGACTGGACCTCGGACCCTGGTCATTGGGCTTTTTGAAGAGGCCCAACTCACTTATATATATACTACTAAAATGGGTATAGAAGGGAATATATTTACCATGCTTTGTAGCTTGGCTGATGAGGGAGTACTTCACTGAATACACATCTACATATGTGATTGCTGCCATTGGAAGATCCATTCGGAGTCGGACCAGAGTTTCTTTCAACTTGACATTGAAATATTGGGCCACGTCATTGAAAGGACCCGAACACCCGGCCTTGTCCACCTGTCCGGCTGTGATTGGTAGACGGTCCATGATATACGGTAGACATCCAACTGGTCCTGTGTTGTGTATCCAAAATGATCTACCTCCTTGATTATATATATTCTGAAAAAAAAAATGTACATTATAATAATCATCCACTTTAGCTACAACTAAAGCCAAAAATAGTAATATAATAGCATCCGATTTTTTCATTCAATTTTTTTTTTGAAATCAATTTTCATTCATTTTTTATAACAATTAACTCACTCACTCAATTTATTTTCATATGATTAAACTCTAATCATAATGACCTATAATTTAAATATCCCACAATGATATAGCGAGAAAGTTGGACTTTATATAGTTAGTTTGAGACGAATTAAAATTGATACATAATTTATCATATCATTACGAGTAAAATTAAAATAAACTTTTTAAGAATTTAATATTTTTTCCTAAAGTGAATATTTTTTTGGTGTACTATTAGTTAACAGTAATACTATACACCTAAATAATAGACTACTGAAAATGCTATAAATATTTTTATTTTTTATTTTTTGGAAAGGAAGAGATTGATAAGCTATATAGATAAAACATGGTGACTCACCTTAATGACAGATTGAAATTGACCCAATACATCAGGAACATAAGCTCTAACTTGGTCAGTTGACATGTTGAGAAAGTAACCAGCTGTGAGATCATTTTGGCCAATATCAAATGTGTACAATGCTCTGGAAAAGTCCTCTGCCTTGGGTAATAGTTTCATGAATACTCCTCCTACATATACCAATTGCTTTATTTTTAGACCTTTGCAATCATTTTAAATATTTTTTTTAAAAAAAAAACATTATTTATAAATGAATCTTTTTATCCAATGATTTTATTACTACAATAAATTATAATGTAATCATGTAATTTATCTCTTGTGTTAATGTCTTTTTGTTTGGATCATAAATTTGAAAAGAGAAAGAGAAAATGTAAATCAAATGTGAATAGAATATAAATATATAATCGAAACACAACCTTAACTTGTATTTGGTTCATGGATTTGATTAGAGATTTGAAAAAAAAAAAAAAAAAAAAAAAAAAAAAAAAAAAAAGTTAGTGAAATATAATTATGTTTAACTTACATTTCATTCACATTTTTCTTTTTCCATCCCGGTGTCTTACCTAAATCCATAATCCAAACACAACCTAAAAGTTCTAACTATATCAATTTTACACTTAGGTTGTGCTGAAGCATGAATTTGAATAGAAATTTAAATAGAGAAAAAAAACATGTAGGTAAAATATAATTACATTTCACACACATTTTTTCTTTCTTTTTTTTTCGTTTTTTTTTTTTTTTTTTTTTTGCGGAACATCCGCAATCAATTACACAGAAACACTAGACAAAAAAGAAGCTAGAAGAGGAGGGGGACTAGCCACCCAATTCAAAGGAAGAGCATCTCTAATTCAAACACAACCTTAAAATTTCATATTGTGTCAATTAACAATTGATAACATTGTTATGAAATTGAACAGAAATGAAAAGCAAAATAATTTATTTAAAAATAAATGAATTATTTTAAATTGTACATCAACCTTTCAATCAATCTGACAAGAGTAAATAGAATATTTTACCTCTCCATTTCAATCAAATTTCAAAACTAATATTTTTAATTGAATAGAAAGTGTAAAAATCAAACTGACACAATAAATAAATTAAAGGGACTACATATTTAATTTGTGATTTAAATAAAGTTTGCATGTTGAGAAGTACCTTGGTTACGGAATATTTGGGAGCGACGATGGAAATCATTGAATTCATACCACTGAACGTTCAAAGAGATGGGACTGAACCCACTTTGATGAAGAGTTGTATTCTGAGGTCTAATTGTGGACCCTGCTGTTGCAAAATTGGCTCCGTGTGTGAAGTTAGACCCCACTGAATCTAGGTATGCACTCAAATATGGCAGTCCCAAGCTTCCAGCTGAAACCCCCTCAAATCAAAACAGGTTACGATAATTTCTTTTTAATAATAAGTTTGTGAATACAAAACCAATTATATAAAATATGTGTAAAGTAATTTGAGTGATCACTTTGTTTAGTTTCGTTTTTTCAAAAACATTTTTCAGAAAATTCTACTTTCTTGATTTTCGTTTTTTTTTAGTGAATTTTTTTAATATTTTAAGTATTTTTTTTTACTTTTTAGATCTACCTAACATAAATATACTTAAAATTTAAAAAAAAAATTTAAAAATTTATTAAATACCAAATATATAAAAAATATATATATAAAAATTCAGTATATTTTTTATATATTTATTAATTTTTTAAAATATTTTTCACAAATATTTTGGTGAATAAAGAAGATATGTGGATAGACTTTCTCTCAGAAACAAACGTGATTCTGTGAGCCGTCGGTGGATTTTGTTCAGAGATTGTAATCTAAAAGCATCCCACAAAAAAACAACATTGCTTACTCACATATCAGGGATGGGTTCACATGATCCTTTACAACAAAGACCATTTCTTTTTTAAACTCACAATTTTTAAGGTGGCTTCTATTTTATAATAATAAATAATTAAAAAAATCAGTCCAAAAACATTTCAATAATGCATAAAAAAATGTTAATTTCATATCACTATCAAAGAGAATTGAACAGTTAAAAAGGAACAAATTCTTGACTGCGAATGGGGTCATTCCAAACACTACCTAGAGCCATCACGACTGGACCATCAAAGGTCATTTTTAATTATATAATATGATAAAAAATTTAATTCTATAATTGAAAGATCATTGTGTAACTAAAAGTACACTAACCACAAGAGACCGAAGATTTGGTTAAAAGTAAATTTTTAATATTTATTTTGTCAATTAATTTTTATTAAAAATAATTTTTAAAAGAAAAAAACACTTAATGTTTTAAGTTATAGGGCATTTAAATTCATTTTTGTCAATAATTCGTCAATTAAATAAATTAAAAAATTATGTTATCATTGTTTTATTTATCCTTAAAACTTTGCACCATCTACTTAGTTCAAATCCTTTTTAACTTTATTAAAAATTACTTAGTATAATTATGTTAAAATTATAGGATTAGTCTAATTTACCCAATTTTTTACGTCTTAATTTTCAGGCAGGGTGTGAAGCAAAACTGTTTAGTATATGGCACAAACATACCTATAAAATCAATTACAAGACGGCCATCGCAGTACCGTCCGGCGGGCGCATGGAAATATGTCTCTCCATGGGGCGGAGGGGCTTGTCCGAATGCCGCCGACAAACCGCCCGTGTCGGAATTCGAGTCTCCAAAGTTGAATACTGCCGCAAACTCACAATGGGTGGTGGTAGTTTTGCCAAACACTGAATTGGAGACTAAAATTGATGAAAACAAGACAACTAGAGTGAGTATGAGAAGACTCGGGCAATTAAACTCCATGAGAGAGCTCTTGAATTTGAAAGATATTGAAATCTCAAAGGAAGAGAAGATAGATAGTAATGAGTGAGGACAATCAGTCACAAACAAGACTGTTGATGATATTGCATTATTGTTTGTTTGCTTTAAGCATGAGAGAAGTACCAAAATACCCTGGCCATGAAAGAAATTTTGCATGGTTTTTTTTTAGCATAATCGTTTTGTGGAAGATTTACAAGGGTATTTTGGTCTATTCACTGGCACATGATCTCTCATTGTTAGATCTGGTCTATCATGTGAACTGTTTATTTTATAAAATTCATTCAACAAAAGCTAATGATTAACCTTCCCTTAAGTCTGCTTGTAAGTCCTCCCTGGCAACTTGTAAGTTTGTTGCAGATATTGTCGACCTTTTCTGTGAGAAGCATTAACTGTGGAAATTATTTTATATTTTCGGAGTATTACGTGTTTTGTATTCTCTAATCAATAATTATTTAATATGTTTTTTTATATTCTTTAATCACTTAATATAATATATCATTTGTCCATTTTTTTTACCAATCATAATGTTATGAAATATAACATATCCATATTTCAAAATTACTGAATAATTAGTCATTGCCCTCTTATACTCTGTTGTTGTTATTTTAGATTAATCCAAAAAATATATACTCTATATATATATATATATATACTAATCTTATAAGAGCATCTACATTAGTCTCACCAAATATAATTTTTAGTTAAATATAGTTAGTAAATCATAAAATTCTTATTCCATCAATCTCAACAAATTATTTCTAAATTAGCTTTTGATTGAATTTGCTACAGTACCTCAACTATTCATTAGTTATTTCATAGTTTATTATTTTTTTGAGACAGGTTATCTATTTTTTATTATATTTTCTTACCACCGGACGTCCGACGTCCTCCCGAATGTCCACCCGGATGTCCCTGCTGGGAAGGAAGTTTGCTGAATTTCGACCTGATCGGTCGACCGTCCAGTCGTCCGATTAGTCGACTGGCCGGTCGACCGCTCCTCAGTAGGTTTGCCTCTTTCGGCTGCTGCTCTCTGTTGCTGCTGTGGTGCACTGAAAAAATTATATTTAAATTGAAAAAGATTAAACAATAAAAATAATATTTTAATAAAATAGAATTTTAGAATAGAGAATTTGATGGAGTGTGTACATATAAAAAAGAGGTTGACTAAAATATAAAAGTAAATTTTAAATTATAATTTGGCGCAAAATTTGTTGAGGTTGAGGCTGCGGATGCTGTAAGCCACTTAAAGGTCCACTCTTCCTATTACTAGATTGATCTTCTTGTGTAACGGGTAAACTGTGTTAATGTATTTCTTTATTTAAATTATCTAATCAGCAATGCTAAATGAATTAAAAATCTTATTAAAAGCATAAGTGTCTAATATCATTAGATGTTTATTATTTTTTTGACAATTAGTTATGAAATCTTGTATTTTTAATAAAATTTTAATAAGAATATTACTATCTATAGAATTATTCTTATTTAATATAACTGATTTATAACACATCTTATATATCATTTCAATAATAGAGAAATATATGATAATTTTATATCTTATTTTTAGTATTAGACACACTAACAAATATACTAATTAGATACAGTGTTACTTCGGCACCACATCAAGTGATAAAATTTATTTGCAACTCGTGTTTTAAGCAAAATGGTGATTGATCCATCTCCTTATTATTGAATTAACAAATAACTATAGAATAGACCAGGATTACAATATAAAATTCTCCTCTTTCACTTGCTCGTGGAGGCCAAACTTGTGGAGCTCGTGCAGAGTCGCGTAGTCAGGAATTTAGTGGAGAAGCAAAAATTAAGAAAAATGTTTGAGGGCCCGAAATGTGAGGCTCGAATGCGGCTCGAACCTTAAAACGACGTCGTTTTAAGGTTCAAAATTTTTTTTTTTCTTCTTTTTCTTCCTCTTCTTTCTTTTCTTCTTCTTCTTCTTCGTTTTGAGCCTAAGAAGCAGAGGCGAGAGAGAGAAACAGAGGGGAGAGGCGGGAGCTCGTCGTCGCTCGTCGGCCGATCGTCACAGCTCGTCGGCCGATCGTCACAGCTCGTCGGTCATCGCTCGTCTGCCGATCGTCACAACTCTTAATGACAACATTAATTTTTTTATAATAAAAAATAATAAGGTGTTATTAAATTTAAATATTAAAAGTTTATTTAGATATATGTAAATTTTAAATTAAAGGATTTGAAATTAAATTTTATGCAAATATTGGGGAGTAACTATTTTATAAGTGGATTGGAAATTTAAAAAAGAAGATAAGTTGAGATAGAAATGATATATATTTTAGTAGAGAAATTTTATAAAACATACTGCAATAAAAGTGTCTATCATGTGACACAATTATGATCTTTGTGATCTTTAGTTATAACACATTATAGTGTTAGATATACTTTAGTTATAATTTTTTGTGGTTGTTATTTTAGTTATGACTATATATCAAATAATAGTTAGTTATGACTCATTCTGATATTAATTATAATCTACTGTAATTTTATTTTTTATTTTTTTTATAATTGAAGATGTGTTGCTTGATTATAATTTATATGGCGGTCATTTTAGTTATGAATGGAAAGAAACATATGGAGGATAAACTCTACATGTCAAATGTAACTAACAGTCCAATAAATTTCATATCTTCATTGAAATTAATTATGTTTGCATGTCAATAGTGATAAACATTACCATTACATTGAAATTTTCATAAATAATAATATGACTTATCATAATCTTTTTATTTTCAATTAAAATAATCATTATTATTCTCATAATTTTAAAATATCATTGACATTTCATTTTAAATAATATTTTTATAAATTTTTTTATTAAAAATATTTTTTTAATGTTAAAAAAAAAAAAAAACAAAATTCCCAAAACCCAGGGAGGCACGTGACCCCTGCGCTCCCAAAACCGAGGGAGGCACGTGACCCCTGCGCCTAAAGTGCCTCCGCCACTGCTCACACGTAACGTATCTTATCTTACTATGGATAGCATAAAAAACAATAACAAATTATCTTCTTGGTCTTGAAATAGCATTTAAAATTTGAATCATTGTTATAAAAATTAAAAGGGTAAATTGCATTAATTTCTCTTAAAATTTGAAAAAAAATATAATAAATTTTATAATTTTGACATAATTATATTAACGTTGTAAACGAGCCGAGTTTTACTAAGCTCAAGTTCGGTTCATTTATTATGAGCTCGTTTATTAAATTTGAGCTCGGCTTAATAAGGAACTAGGTTCGAGTTTAACTCGGTTCGTTAATATTAATAAAACTTAAGCTCGGCTCGATAATTTTTTAATATTATTTATATTATTTAAATAAAAAATATTATTTATATATTATTTATATTATATAATTTATATTTAGCTTCTTTTTAGTAAAGTTTAATGAATTGAAATTAATCCAGATCTCCTAAAAATAAAAATAGTAAACCACGTAAAATATATAGTTTCATATAAAATATATGATAATATCATTTTTTTATTCATATAATTAACAAATTATTGATGAAAATGAGATTAAATGTTATATGAATTAAAATCTCAAATAAGCTCAATATAATTATGTCAAAATTGTAACACTTATTAAATGTTTTCTAAATATTAAGAGGTTAGTGTAATTTATCCAAATTAAAAAAATAATAATAATAAAATAAATAAATCAAATCAAATCAAATCAATGGTTAGATCACTTGAAGACCCCTAAACCCCATTGTACATCCGAAAAGGTTGAGTAGTCTATATGGCCCGTTTGTTTGGGGTCATAAAAAGGGGATTGAAATTGATAGTGAAGTAAAATTTATTATTTTTATGTTAAATTTGAGAGATAGAGAAGCGATTTATAATCTCCTCCGGATTATGAGTCCCCTTGGGAAAGGGATTTGGATGAGCTTCTAACACTTGGCATTAGAAAAATAGTCTGCTGGACTATTTTTTTTATTTTTTATATGTTGGACATTTTTTTTTTTGAACATTAATTTTTAATTTTTTGTATTTTTTGTTAAGTAAAATCATTATTTTATTTTTTCTGAAATTTTTTTATTTTTTATTTTTACATGTCAGGCATTTTTTTTTAACATTAATGTTTAATGTTTTTATATTTTTTGTTTGTTTTATTATTTATTTATTTTATATAAAAAAAATTTAACAATCCCTACACCAACAACTATTATCAAAGCAAATACAATTTTACTTAATTCTGTCACTATCAATCTCCTCTTTATTAATCATTTCTATTTTACCTCTCAAAATCAACGGGACCTATATATACACCGCAAAAATGCTTCCTACCTCCACTGGGGTCGACCCCCAGTGAGGTGTCACTGGAGGATTGGCCCAAAACAAAAACTTTTTTTTTTTTTTATTAAAATTTTTGAGTTTTCGGCCAGTGAGGGCGCGCCACGTCAAGGTATGCAGCGGGACTGATATACACCGAGGTGGGGTTCGTTAATTTTATATAACTTTATAAACCTTTTATCAAAAAACCTTAGCGTTGGGTTGACTCCATGGCCCAATGGATAAGGCGCTGGTCTACGGAACCAGAGATTCTGGGTTCGATCCCCAGTGGAGTCGTCGTCTTTGTTTTATTGCATTTTGGTCCTTGCAAACTTTTATGGTATTTGCTTGCAGGGTCACTTTTGTAAAAGCCAGTTTGTACTGTGTTACTTTATTCACATGTTCTCTCTTCACTTTTTGTTTGACAGCTTCAAAAAATTTAAAGGAATCTCAATCATGGCAAATTACACTTTGCTTCTTTATGTTTCCTTATTTTTTTTATTTTGATCTTTTAATTGTTTATTTTTTATTTGATCCTTTCATGTTTTTAATTTTTCTAAATTTAGTTTAAAATTAATTTATTTTCAAAATTAAATAAAAAGTGACACTTTGATAATCACGTAACATAAAAATATTATTATATAATCTATATCTTTGACACAAATTTAAATTCTAATATAATAATATATTTTTATGTCATGTAACAATTAATATGATATTTTTTGTCTAATTTTAAATAAAAGTTCACTTCAAAAATAATTAAAAAAT